TTTGATGATTCTTAAACATGCCGAAGATAGACTTGGCTTTGGATGAACGCATTTTTGTGGAGAATTAGCGGTACATGGATTTCAACCTCTCGCTAACTGCACTGGCTGCCATTCTATGAGAGCATGTTCGTCCTGTTTGTACGCCAGCAATAAAATGGCTAAAAAAAACAATTTATATATGAATTGATTTTCCATAATTTAGCTAATGAAAATAATGTACAGTGTTTTTTGTCACCAACTGTGTGTGTAATGTGTTTCATGTGCTGAGGAGCGATCAGAAAAGGCAGAGAACAGATTTGAGGCGAGGCAGGCAGTTCTCCTGCCTCATGGCAGGGGGCGCTCATGATCCCAGACATTGGTTTTGTGACTCCATGAGGCAGTGACAGCGAGCTAGTCATACAGTAAATAAGTCAAGTGCAGACATATATTTGTTGTTTTCTCCTCTCTCCCGACGTCAACCTGGATGACGACATTTCTACCCTTAAACAGTTTTCTAAAGCAGATGTTGAATAGAAGCAGGAAATAATAACTAAAGGAAGACACTGGACTTCTTTTTCCTGTCTGCTCCTGGGTCTGATTTCATAACAATTTATGCCTTCATTACACTCCTCTGAGATTATTTTCAGATGAAAAAATATATATATACTCAAACTAAAACAGCAAATATGGGTTTATAGAGCATTAAGTTCACTGCTGGTTTTTAAAATATTTTTGAAGACTGAGGGCAGGAGCAGAACAGGAATAAACATGCCATGCATTCTAGTAAAACAGTCATTTCACCCTTGTAAAAGAGTCAAAATGAAAATAACATTGTCTGAATATTAGTAAGGCTGTACATTAGTGATTCACTAAACTCTGACGTTGAATCAAAAATGAAATCTAACCTGCTGTACATTTAGAATTTTTTTCCTACCTGATTTATTTCCATAAGTTAAAACACTGAGCAGATCTTCGCTAAGGTATAGAATCAGGTGTTGACAGATAAACTCTGGGTTGTTGTTGACACTACATGCATCTTGCATTGTTTAGTACTGTGTACTTATCAGTGGCGTTGTTATATGCGTGTTTCACCTTCCTAAAATAATGGCCTAAGTCATTTTTTTTGGTGAAAATTTCTCCTTTATTTTGCCTAAATCATTGCTTGTCAATAAAAAAAGAGGGTGATTTTGTTTGCGCCAAAATCAGTTTTGGCAGAAAACGACCTGGGTAATCATTTTAGGAAAGTGGAGACGATGTTTGTTGCTCTGGTTTCTTTGTTTTTTTGTCTCTTTCTGCTGGTATAGAAGCAGATTCCTAGTGTGTTTTCTCTCTTTCTCCATCTCCTCAATTCTTACAGCTTCCTTGGGTTTTTCTCTTTTTCCCCTTTCTTTTCCGTCTTTTTGTTCGTTGCTTTGAAGCAAATCCAAAGCAAATTTCCAGCATTATAGCGAAATGACCCACTTTAGAAAGTGACTTTGTAAGTGCCATACAACAATTCTGACACGCTACACAGAACGCACTAAAAATACAACGTATAACTTAATTTGAGAGAGTTTTCAAGCCTTTACTGTAAATAATTATTGTGATTTTCTGCTTACAGCTAATGGAAACATATTTAGGATTAGAATATTGCACCAGAGAAATTACAAAAATAAAAAAAATGAAATACGTAAATGTGGATTTAATGAAAAGTATGTTCAGTATCTGCTTAAGAGTTATTTTAAAAAGACTCTTTAAATTTGAACAAGCCTCACCAGAACACATTTTAATTCATTGGATATGACTGAATTGTGGTGGTTATCTTCAGACGGTCCGCCATGTTTTAGTGTTTTAGGGCAAGAATATCAAAGCCTTTCCATTTTCATACAGCCATCTCTCTTCCTATAACATCAGTATCAGCAACAGAACCTTCGTAGTCCAATTAACTTCATGAGGATAGTGTACTAATCCCAAGCTTGATGTCTTGTAGACATTTTTTCATCCCTAACTTTGGGTTTTTAGTGCTGCTGGAGGCCATTCGTCAGATCTATCCAGAACACTTTTATATCGGCTGGGATTTGCTTCCGCTGGTTTAAGACGCTCACAGTGTGAGGAAAACCCTGTTTATTTGCATTTACACAAAAATTTTTAAGGCAGTAATTTGCAAATGATCTGACTATGCATTCACATTAAACATAAAATCAACAATTGTTCCTGCTGCGGCTAAATCGAATTATTCTGCATTGCATTACCTGGAACATTTATTTAGCTTTGTTGTATTTTGAATACTCACTGCAGATCTGCGTTTAAACTGCAGATGTTGCTATGAAGGAAAACTGCCTTTTGTTTAACAAGGAAGCACATTTCTCATGAATAATTTTAACTACAAGTCATGGCCTTAAAAACGGGGTCGCTTTAACCCAGTGTTTCCTTTGACTGTTTTTTGTTTTTTTTTTTCTTTAGAGGTGGTGGAGAAATCTGAAGACCATCTATCATTTTGAAGGATTACAAATTCACACTCTTTACCACTTTGTAGACATGCAGACATTTTCAAATGGATGCCACTTCAGGTCACAGACCAGTGCAGCTGAACCACTGGTTCCCATTCTGCTGAATCTAGAATGCAGCCTCTGCAGCAATCCCGGGTGAGACATTTGATCATGCACAAGTGGATGCACAGTTCAGGTCCAGGAAGGACCAGGAGGAGGCTGTGGGCCACAGCAGGTGAACCGTTCACAGTGGGAGTTTAATCTAAGTGTTTGTGTGCTGTTACTGAGGCCACAGTCAGTGTTTTCTGTCACTGCAGAGAACAACGTTTCTTGTGTTGGATGTGCGATAGCACAATGCGGACTTGTTTGAACTGAATGGTAATTAAACTGAGTCAAATTTAAATATCACAGAATATGTCAGTTTTATTTAAAAAAAATTGACGGATAAAAACGGCCATATGACTGGATTTTATTTTTTTTTTATTTTTTTTACTCCTTCACTCGAATTAGCAAACAATAAAGTCCAGCTTAACCTCTGCCTCAGTGTTACACTACTGTCACACAGATTCTTCCCATAGTGAACATTTAAAAAAGCAGTTTTTTCATAGGTGCAATCCAGGAAATGAGGGATTTCATCTAGCACATCGAGTCTTAGACAAATACTTAAATATTTAAAGTGTGCGTGCCTCTGTTGATGCATTCATATAAATAGTCTGTGTACAATGAGAACAATTTGGTGAAAGTCACTACTATGCTGCATCATTTCTGTTTTGTTTAATTTGTGTTTCCAAATGAAAGTATTAACTGACTGCAGGGACGATATTTCAGTGCCTCTTAAATAGTCAGATTTGTTTTTTATATCATTTATGTTGTGTGTGGTCAGATTACTCTTATCAGAATTAATCAGGCAGTAAGGCAGGTCTTCAGTTTCTCTTTCCTTTTTCAGCCTCTGGCCTAAAGTGGGTAAACATTTTGGACAGGAAAGCTTGACGTTATGCAACGTTGTCGTCGGGTCATTGCTGTGGTGCTTCTGTAGCGACGGCGCGCGAGTGCTGCAGTGCTGATGTTGGCGCATCTGGTGGTCAAACACATCAGACTTCCTCAAAGCAATGGGATTTAAAAGCTGTTGTGCAGTCATGTGACAGAGGGGTTACTTATTGATGTCTTGACTGATGTAACATTTTTGCAAAGAAAACATTTAATTGATAACTACATGAAATCATGCCATCGCATTCCTTAATACTGCTCTTCCTGTCTGGTGAACATCTCCATCGACCTTTTTCTTGGGGAAAACGACTCACTTTGTGACATTCGGCACACCGTAAAACTGCTGCCGATGTAAACAGTAAGATCCCACCGTGATCTCTTTAATGTCTCTTTATCATATCTTCACCTGCTTTCACACTATGTTGTGCATACCTGACGCGTTAAAGACATAAAAGCCACAAATGGGAGCTTCATGCACTTGCGACCCTCAGTGAGTTGATGAATGTAATTTGAAACTGTTACACTCTCCAGAGGAGCCACACAGGAAGAAGAAGCAGAAGCAGCAGCAGCATGGTACAGTAGCAGCGGCGTGCTGCTCCTGGAAGCAAATATGCAAATTGCTGCTTTTCTTGTGCACCAGCCTGTCTCCTGACTCATGCCCAGACAGAGCATTGAACACTGAACGCAATCTGTGCATGTGTTTAGAAGTGCTCGGCATGCCGCTTCCATGTCTTGCCCTTTGTGCTTTGCCTTATGAAACTACTTTTAAATGGAAAAAAAAAAAAAAAAAAGTTACTGTAATTCTTTAAAAATATGATGGGTAGCACTCATTTGTCCTAATGTTTGTTTTACGTTGGCAAAGCATTAACCAAGATAACCCTGAACCTCTGACTGTAATGAAGCAAAAAGCGGTCTTCTGTGGCTGTGCACATTGATAAAGGCCAAGCGTACTTCCATTTATATTCTGAGCAGTCCTCAATAAGACATTTAATGGGGATTTACTGGCACACCTCTCCCACGCATTGTGAGGCGGCACTAACTAGATGAGCCAGAGAATTACTGCACTGTGGAACAGTGTCGGAACACACCACAGTGAGCAGTTTTATGATAGCCAAGCGCCACATGGTGCGGCACAGCATCGTTGAGGCAGACGGTTACTCTCTTGAGTGCAATTTTGTCTGCGTGTCTTTCAGTGCTGCTGTTCCGAGCTGAGTTTTTCCTCTGCTTTAGCCTCGCTATGAGAGAATGGCATGTCCCGTGGTTCATAAAGACAATAAACCAAGTTCAAGTTTGATAAGCTGCTGCCCTCTCGTTCGACTTCACTTTAATACATCGATCTGCTTCCACACTCAAACCCGTCACGATTTTCTCACTCTGTGTTTTTATCCACAAAAAACATCACCTTGTCACTCCTGCTCAATGGAAAGGTGAAACAAGAACGTGGATCGTTCATATTTTTACAGTTGAGAGATTTTAAGTGGTAGAAAAAAAACAAAAACAAAAAACAAAAAAAACGTTTCATACAACAAAAAAAAAGCACAGGCACAGTTATGTGTATGAGAAATGATAGACCTGTGCAGACTCTGCAATTACTATGACTTATGAAAGCTGAAAAATGGTATAAATAATTAACTATAGTTTCTTTCCATGATTAATATAAAAGGCCTGGAACTTAAATGGAGTCAGAGAACCTGCTGCAGAGAGGAGCATTTTACAATTTAAAGGTATGAAT